GTAGGGATGGGGTTGCTTAGGGTTAGATTTGGGGTTTTATGATTCAAGCGATGCTTAAAAGGATAGTTTGGTAGGGGGTCCAAATTCCCTAACGGGTATAGATGTTGTGGTTCAATTTTATTCTTGGTTTAAATTTTATTTTCCATTGTTTCAACCCTATTATCATACATTACCATAACCAAAAACAGTGGAAAATAAAATTTAAACCAAGGATAAAATTGAACCACAACATCTATGCCCGTTAGCGGATTTGGACAGGGGGTCTACCTCTGCGGCGAGTCTACGTCTGCTGTGACACCTGCCCTCAAGCTGCCTAATTGGAGCTGAAGCTGCCTCATTGGAGCAAGGCGCGGTATTAAACTTAAGTGAATTTGGCTAAAAGACACTGGAGTCTCACATAGGTTCACATCAAAGGAATAGTCTTTAAAAGTGAATTTTGGGCTTCACAAAGGGAAATCCTTGTGGGGAAGGTTGTATCTCTTCAGTTTAGGAATTACTATGTTCTTGTAATTATCGAAATCAAGTGTGTGTGAGTCCTGTCTAACTGAATAACGTTTGGGGTTGAATGTGCGGACGTTTTAGGGAAAAACTTGAGGAGTTCCGTTTTTCGGCTCAACTTAATTAAGATATCTAGGATTTGTGTAAGTTTTGCCTTGCTTTTTAATTGATCCCGCCACTTTTTAAATCAGTCGCTTTCGTTTCCAAGAGCTTCCCACATTCAGTCGTAATGCGCTCTCTATAGAAACTTGAACGAGATGCATTCTCGTTTGGATAAAACTGACTCGCAGTGCACGGTGAAAGTATTTATTATTATAATTGTAAGTGTAATCATCTCTTCCAGGTTATGAAAATGAACATTTCCACTAGTATTTTCACTGAGGCTGTTTTCAACGGCGAAACCGAAATGACCATTTATTTCATTGTAGGTTCATATGGCATCATATCAGTGCAGTCCTCTTTCAACCCCTGAGGGTATCATGGCGACTTTCAAGCAGTGTAGCAAGTTACAGGAAGGAAAAAATCTAGACAAGTTTGTTTCAGTTGTAGTCCTTGATGAGGTTGGCCTCGCTGAGGATTCTCCTCTCATGCCCCTAAAAACCTTACATCCACTGCTTGAAGATGGCGTCACCTCTGCTGATGACGTTATTGAGACTGACGAGAAACCACAACGTGTAGCTTTCATTGGAATCTCAAATTGGGCCCTGGATCCTGCCAAAATGAACCGTGGAATTATGCTGTCGCGCGGGGTGCCCGAAAAAGATGAACTTGTTGACAGTGCAATGTGAGGTTAAACATATATAATACGGGCATTTTCGACTGAAATCGTATCATAAAATTTGCTGGCATAGATCAGCCTTAAGATAAGTACTGTCTGTTTTTCTCACCATTTTCAAGCGCTCGGTTTCAAATATATAGGCTATTTTTCATATACTTTTTTCTACTAGTTATTATCTCATACTTAAGAGTCTTGTTTGAAGGATTATTGCTTTAGCTGACACCTTTGAATTTTGCTTTTGAAGGGGAATTTGTTCTACGGATGAAGGGGTGAAACATCTTATTCAACCTCTCATATCTCCATTGGCTGATGGATATGCAGAACTTTACAAGGAACAGAAGAATTTTGCAACCTTAAAGAAATGGGGCAAAGAAGAATTTTTCGGTCTTCGTGACTTCTATAGGTTTGATATTTAAGAATGTACTCTTCGTCTTGCTTCTTGTAAGCCTGGATGTTTTTTGTAGCTTCTGTGAGTGATTTGCTTTCTTTTCCTGTTCATTTAAGCTTAATCAAGATGGTGTACTCGATCGCTGCAAAATCTGAACATAGACCTCGTTGGCACGAACTAGAACATGCTATCAAGAGGAACTTTGGTGGCCTGACTGAAGAAGACCCTGTGGAGATATTTAAACGATACTATCCAGAAACAGATGTGAGTAGACCTTGCGAGAAATTTTCAGTTTAGTATAATAAATAAAAATCTCAGATGAGAGTTTTTACTACTCACTGGCCCATCATCTTTAGTAAAAATATGAAAAGCTAACAGCAATCGCGACTTGGTAGCTCTCGCTTTTATTTGGACTAGGTGGCCGGTTGTTTTATTAGAGTTCTTAAGGTGATTCCTCAAAAAAAAAAGCTGTCGAAGAATTTAATTCAAAGGTTGCTTGTTTAAGAGATATGACAGGCCAAACGTACCTCATCAAGGCCTGTACTGGCACTTACCACGCGCTTTATTTCATTGGTTTACGATAGAGTTTGCGGTAGCAGGAGGTGAGAGTTTTTAAAGTAACAATTGAAAGAACTTAATAGGGTAGAAAGTCTCTAGCGTATGGAAAAATTTGATATTTAATATGTAGAAAAATTAAGCAATTTTAAACGACATCGACCCAAAACGTTCCTCGACTCGTTGCTTTTAAGCCGATTATAATTGTATCACCAAGTAACAGGATCCGTGAACGCTTTTTACTGTATCATTTTTCCCTTCGATGAATATATTTTTTAATTTCTCCAATTTAAAGGGGATAATTTATGCGCCAAAATTATGCAATAAAAGTGTAAGTCACTGCGCTTGTTTAAGAGCTAAAGACCATTGCACCTCTTTACCTGGTCCTTTGATTGAAAAGCAAACGGTGCTCTCGGGATGCGTGCTTATTCGCCTGACTACGTGGTTTTCACACGAAGTACAGGGTGTACAGTGCAATACCAAGGAATCGCTTTGATATTTTCATTTGTTTTGTATATTTGGGTAGTGCCGAACCTTGCAGTCCAATGGTTGTTTTGTAAAAAAGCTGTGCAATCTTATGCTGAGATCTTTCATTAATTGAAGTGGTGAACCGTTATCGGTGCAGCTGAAACATTTATAAATGGTGTCAATGAAAAATTATTCGGAGCAAATTCAAGGTTTATGTTGATTTACCATTTGCGTCTTAATTAGGATGATGTTGTAGAAACCTGTACGACAATAAGATTAATCGAGGCAAGTCTTGGAAGGGAAGACGTGGCTGACCGAGCTAATTTCAGGTAGAGTTGATGTCTATCTCTTCTATCGTTATTTAGTTAACTTTTGGCAATCAGTTAGTACCTTCTTTCTTTCTCTATTTCGTTGGTCAGTTCTTGTTGGTTTGTGTCTCCGGTTCGGCCGTTTTTTCTTTTGTTAGTCAGGTAATTAATTTATAGTTAGTTAATAAGTGAGTGAGTTAGTTCATTCTCTCGTCTGGTCGATCTTTTTTTAATCCGTTTTTTCGAAATAGCTTTTTCAATTGGTGACCAAATGTCATGCTTTTGTAGTGAGAACCGTTACCTCCTGATATTGACTGAAAACTATGCTGCGCTACCCATCATACAACAGCTTCTTTTGAAGACATCAGACGGTGCTGTTGTGATCTTTGGAAGCAGTTTTCCAAATGACCAGGAATACACTCAGGTGGGTAGCCAGTGACGACAGGCACTTGACGAGTAATAACAAAATTTATATATTACTATGAGTGGACTTCATACTCGTTGAGTGGACATCATACTTGTTGGGCCCCAAAGTCCACAATGTTCTCTGCCATTTTCTGGATTAACTAGAATGTGGCTTGAAGGTGCATAGTTCTGCACAAGGATAATTAACAATGATCTACATCTCTTTAGTTTTCACGTGGTACTTTTAAGAATATGCCCAATTCTCCGACTTAAGAGATGAGTGTGTCAAATAGTTAGACTGGGTAACTCTTTGTTCTCACGACATGAGCTCGTTAAAAAACACGTTGTTTCAAATCTTGAGACTTTTGCCCCCTCACTGAGTAGAAATCAGGGCTCTTAGGAAGTGATAACTTAAGGACACCACTCTCCATTTGTTGAACTGATCAGTTTCTATTGGTTTCCAAATTTCAGATTTGCCGCAACATCAATCGTATCAAGGTCTGTATGGAAACAGGAAGAACCGTGATCTTGTTGAACCTTGAGAGTCTTTACGAGAGTCTTTACGATGCCTTAAATCAGGTACGAGATATCCGTTGCAGAAATACTCTGTGCATAGATGATTGTATGAAAATCTGTTTTATTTTTTTGCTCATCAACTTGCATGCAAACAATACCGGGATGGGGAACAAAATGGTGTTACACCGGTGATGAAGTTTTGCTATTTGTTTCACGATACCTGATGACGCATGGCTCCTTGACTCCGTATGAATTATTGGGATGAAAGCATCATCACCTATTCACCTATTCTTAGTACCAACGCATTTCTATCCTCTGTTGAGAAGTCAATCTCAAATAAGGCTTCACGTAAGAAGCTTTTTGCACAATGCTTGTCACTTTGCAAGAATATGCAGTAGCGTCAAAAGCTACAAGAATGTTAAGGTCTACAATTTTTTTTCAGTACTATGTGTACTTTGGAGGACAGAAGTATGTGGATCTTGGGCTTGGTACTCACCGTGTAAAGTGTCGAGTTCATGACGATTTCAAGTAAGAATTTTTGGATATGGACGGAAATAATTTGTCTACCTTGTTTTGTTTTGCAATTATTAGTGTGACCGTTTCGATGACTTTTACTCGCTTTGTTTCAAGTCATTGGTAGTTTTTTTTTAGGTTTTAAATCGTTTTACATGCATCTGAATCTTTTAAATATGATGGCTTGCATCGCGAGGATAAATATGGCGATAACAACGAACCATGGTGAATGCGCATTCTAAGAATAGCGCCTAAATTTATTTTTACGTGGGACAAGTGACTAATGGATATGACGATATCATTCGTAAATTGTGCGTCCAATAAGTCTAATATAAAGATTTAGCCAAGTCCAAAAGCGGAGCTCCCAATAAGTGAACAGTTTGCAATAAAATTTCTTTACATATATTAAAAATTTTTAGCCAAAAATTCATTCAGTATGGATTGAATTTAGTAAAAAATTAAATTTAATATTATTTAGAAAGCCGTAATTTAGCCGTAAATTAACGGCAAAATTTTTGGTTTGTAATAATTTTACAAACCAAAAATTTCGCCGTTGATTCACGGCTAAATTTGTCGCGAGATTATTGCAAAGATATAATTTATTTCGCCATTAATTCACGGCTAAATCGAGTTTCACATATATATCAAACGCAAAAATTAGCCGTTCATTTTCGGCTAAATCGAGTGCCATACATATTACAAACGCAAAAATTAGCCGTTAATTTACGGCTAAATCGAGTATCACATATATTGATACCAAAAATTTCGCCGTTAATTGACGGCTACATCGAGTGTCACATATATAGAAACCAAAACTTTCGCCGTTAATTCACGGCTAAATCGAGTGTCATATATTCTAAACGCGAAAAGTAGCCGTTAATTTTCGGCTAAATCGAGTGCCATACATATTACAAACACAAAAACTAGGCGTTAATTCACGGCTAAATCGAGTGTCATAGATATTCCAAACCAAAAAATTCGCCGTTAATTCATGGTTAAATCAGTGTCAAAGGTATTCCAAACGCAAAAATTAGCCGTTAATTTTCGGCTAAAGTTGTCGCAAGATTATTGCAAAGACATAATTAAGCGGTTAATTAACGGCTAAGTGTATTATTTGTGTAATAATGTATACTGACTTGGTTTGTGGCTAAGTTTTTGTTATGTTTGTAGACTGCGTTTGTTGCAAAATTCGCCATTATCTAAACTCTCCTCCCAAGTTCGTAATATTAATGATAACATAAAAGAGGTGCATTTGCCAAGACTCGACTGAGACACCCCTCCCTTCGTTTTGATAGTCTCTCCTACCCTACCCTACCCGTGCAATCTGAGGGCACGTACTTACGTACGCTCATTCAGTCACGTGACAACCAAACAAAAAAGAGGTTGACCATATTCCATGGGTATGGGGCTCTGCCCCACGCGCGCGAAGCGAAGCACGCGTGGGAGCCCCGCTAATAAATCCTAGCCTCAAGATATGATGCTTTCTAGATAAACTTCCCGGCTTTTCTTGATTTAGGTTGATAGTGATTGCCGAAAAGGACGTGGTGTACAACAAATTTCCTATACCGCTGATCAACCGTTTAGAGAAACACTTCCTTGTCACCTTAACAAGTTTAACTCCTGAGCAGGGGAATGTAGTACAGAAAATGAATCTCTGGGCTGGTCAGTTTTCTGAGGTTTCGAGAGAAAGTAGACGTAACAGGTAAGATTTCGAGGCGTTGGGATTAGATAGGGATAGTTTAGAAACATTGTTTTGACATGGACTTGTCTTTAACCTTGATCACGCTAAGGGCACATGATGAGTAAGGAGAATACCATTTCTTCCTTCTCTTTTTGGAAGCGAGGGCTGCTCACTTTGCGATCACAAGAGGAAAACAGTTATTTATTGAAACTTTCCGTACCAATCACTGCTTCGAAAAATGCAAGAGAAAAGATAAGTCACCGTGCTTGCAAAAGAGATACGATGGGCCATTCGTACTGTATTCAAGATTGTGCTGTAACTACTTGCGTACTTCGTTCCCTGGGTTTATGGTAAATCTTGCGGTAGCAATGGTGTAATAATTGACAGGCGAAGAAACATTCCATGAGTAGAAATTCTCGGGCAAAAACCCTACTTATGCAGTATTGGAAATAAGGCCTGAAAAAATTCAGGCCTTTTTTCCACTACTAAATAAGTAGGGTTTATTACTGCGAGGATCGCTTTCATACATTTCATGAAACCGCACTACACATATATGATTTTCATATATTCAATTTCAGTGTTGGAATTAGTTTACGTAGTTTTTAAACGATATTACCTCTAAATGTTCCTCGAGTCGTCGTTTTCAAGGTCATGATTTGCATGAGTAATGGCTTTCTGCACACTTTTTGATTAATTATTTTCAACTTTTTAAAGGTAATTAGTGGATAAAAAATTTTCAATAAAATAATACAGGCTACGCAACTCCTTTGAGAGTAAAAGACCATCGTACGCGCGTATTTTAAGGACTTAGGTGTGATGTTAAGCGCAGTGCAAAGCTGAGGAATTACCCAACCAACATTGACTGTGTTTGTATGATTTCTGTTTGTTTGGTTACAATGAATATATGAAGTTCATATATTTTGCGATACCAATTGAGCAGGCCGTTAAGTTGATTCTTAAGAAACCCGTGATGATAAATCAGACACAATGAATATATGAAGTTTATATATTTTGAACTGCGGTATTAGATTCGTATGATGCACGATACTCACAGTAGAGAGCGCTATTTATGCAATAGCGAAAATCAGACCTGAAAAAAATCAGGCCTGTACGCGATTCGAACCACTGACCTTTGCGATACTAGTGCAGCGCTCTACCAATTGAGCTAACAAGCCAACTGGGAGCAGGCCGTTAAGTTGATTCGTAATAAACCCGTGATGATAAATCAGATGCAATGAATATGTGAAGTTCATATATTTTGAACTGCGGTATTAGATACGTATGATGCACGATCCTCGCAGTAGAGAGCGCTATTTATGCAATAGCGAAAATCAGACCTGAAAAAAATCAGGCCTGTACGTTGGTTTGTTTGTTTGTTTTTTAAAAGGGATTTCTCCATCGGGGACGCTTTTGTTGGATTCCACGATGACACAATCCCCTCCATTGTGATGCAAGTCTGCAGTGAAATTGAAAGAGAGGAAAATTTATCGGCTAGTGATCGCACTGAGGATACAAGGGAAACGAAAGTAAGAACGATACGAGACGATAAAGTAGGTACTATTCTTTGGCTAAACCTATTATATCCTACAGATATTTGGAGAGTAATTTAGATAGTTCTTCTGGTATACGAAAATGCCATGTGATGCTTCTCTAACTTGATCTATTCAGTTTTGTGTGCTTGTATTTTTGTTTGTGTGTGTGTGTGTGTACGTGAAAGCTGTGACGCTTTACCCACTCTAGACTGTGAAGTAGCTTCGCATATTCTCTTATCTTATGTCCAAGGTACTTGGAAGATGTCAGATGATGCTTCTGGAGATGGCTACACCTGATGCAATCGCTCGTCTTCCATACACTGCTCTGGAAAGACACGCTTGTTCCATCTGGAATATCTACTTTAAAGAGCAACAACATTCAAGTGTAGCAGCGTTCATGTCGCACGTGCTTATCTTGGACGATAATCGTCAAGATGAAAGGCGCCAGGAAGGGCTCTCGATTCAGGTAAGTTGAAAACATCTGAGGGCTTCGAATCAAATGAAAAAATGATCGGATGGTGGTATACAGGAGAAAAACGCACGAAAGAACTAAAATAGCTACTAGTTACCAAGTTCTAGAACATTCGCAAAATAGTAAGATTGGTTTGAACAGGTGAAATCTAACAGACCTAATGATAAACCAGCAGTGGCTTCTTTAACCTTGGGAAATATCGATATCTTCGTCTCTGTTTTCATGACTTGGCACTGTATGGTTTAGTAACCGGCTTATCATTTTTGCCCTAGGTAACTACCCATTCACGTCTGCTCTCCAACAAAGATTTGGATGAAATGTGTAATCAAACTGATTTTAGACGTGCGAATGTGGTTTTAATGACACTGCAACAATTCCAAACGGAGCAGCAGTTTAGAGCTTCGGTCAGGTAGGAGCTTGGACTCAAGCAATTTCTTATGTCTTTACTTTGCATTTAATAGTAAAAGTGTGCACTGAAATCGTATTTTTTATTTGATGTGAAATATATTTACACTGAACTGCGTTTACATTTTAAAGTCAGGAAGTCTTGGGTTTCCAAAAACGGTTTTGACGAACAGTATGTAAACGTAGGAAACGGAAGCCCTGAACAAAATTCCCTTGGAGTTCACGCGACAGTTCGTGCGAGAGACAGGGATAAAAGTACAAGAACGATAGCTTTCGCATACTGCTAACGAGCGAATTTTAACCGAGAAAGAGTGCGAACGTTCAATTATTCCCGATGGAGTTTTTTATAAACGCTAAGCAATTTTTTGCACGACTGCGGCAACAACACGAAGGCAAGCGGCCGTTCAAGTGAACCATAGACACGGCTGAGAGTCAATTTTTTGCATGCATATATTAACAAGAAATCACATGACTTTTTCTCGTAAATTTCTAAAGGCAACAAATTTCACTCGCCCTACGGGTTTGTGCGATCTGGTTCCCATTTGAGAACTTTACTTTTGCAGACTTATTCCAAATTGCTCATCTTTGCAAATTATCTGTGCTTATCTTTGCAAATCGTTTTATGGAACGATTTAATTTAATTTAGTCCCAGTAGAGAAGTTGAATAGTAATTTGCCAACACTTCAGGAAAATAGATCGTATTTTGTCCTGAAAATTACAAATTTGTTCATAACGTTGTGTAATTTCTTATGTAATCTTTTTCTTCCAGGGATTTTTTTAAGCGTTTGGGCGGAAAATGTCCTGGCATTCTAGTGGTTCAGTGCGATGCGGGGGATGAAAATTTTAACCTGATTGCGGGTGCAAGGCACATTCTGCTAGAGGAACGAACAAATGCACCTGAAATATTCGATTTGCCTTCGGTGCAAGCTGTCCACATTGTGCTGATCATACAGCTACCAAGAATTGCTGGTGGATGTCATAACTTTGTCGGTTTTCAAGGAGGGAAATGGATGTCTGTTCACATTGACGAACTTCGTCCACCTGGCGGGCACACTCCTTCCATTGAGCAACTCACCGATCGTCCTATCAGTGAGCTTTTCAGCTTGGAAAGTGGAGTAGCAATGGCGGTGGAGCTCCTACGTAACTGTGTACAGGCGGCTGCTTGTAGAATTGATGGCGAAACGGAATCAGCAGAACGGTCAACTCATAGGATTGAGCTGCTTTTGGATTCACTACCTGATGACTATCAAACACAGAGAGGTTAGTTAGCAGAGAAGTAAACAAAATATATGTATACCGAACTTGCCAATGATATACTGATAGCGTTTAAGGTGAATTAAATCTTTCTTAAGTATGGTTTTTCAAAAGATTCAATAGAGCCTCTAATTTATATACGTATTTTTCAGTTGTTACTCATTCAGATTTTTTAGAGGGATCTATATGTGAATATTTATTCGGCTTCCCAACAAATTGGGATTCATGTGTGTATATTGAATTGGAGCTGTCGTCGTTGAGTTTAGCTGAGTTTGGGTAATTGCATTCTTCTGTTGAAGGAGCAGTTAATAATTTTTTTTTGTCCGAGTGCGATAGGAATTCGGCGATTTTATTTTTCAACTGCAGTTGTGTTTCGAGGTAATGGCGAAAGGATAACTGCTTCATTTAGAGTAAATTAAGAGATTGACGCGGAATATAGCACCACGTAGTGTTGAAGTAAAATCTTTTCAGTAACTTTTTTCTCCGTTTAATCTTTGCCTCTTATTCGTTAAGATGAGAAGTCATTTGCAAGCGTACTGGTACAAAGAACATACAACCTCTTGATGGAAAAGGAGGCTACTGCATACGATGCACAGAGGTGGCTCCACTCGGAAGCTCTCTCTGGAACAGGCGTGCAGGAGTGGGGCACCTTTAGAAAGGCTCTTTTGCAAAGAATGTATTCAGTGGTGGTGCCCATTTTCGCTGAGATCATCGCATTTGCAGACAGGGACATGAACTTGGACTTGGTGAAGAGTGACAATAGTTGGATTTCAAAGCTGTGGTTAAAGATTTTAGCAGACCCTACCATTTCAGAACTGAGTTACAGTGAAATGATATCACCTGCTACTAATTCTGTGCGGGAACGTGTTCAAGTCATTGGCTCTGGAGCCGGGGATCACGGGTTCTGTAGCCAGTTTCCATTTTCGTTCCTTATAAAGCAACACGTGGAGAACATGGTTAAAGAGGCATCTAGCGCCTCAGGTAATGAATTTTTTCATTTTTCCCTTATTCTTGGCTTTTTTAAAATTTGCTCGGCGTGTCCTTTCTTAAAATTGTAACTTGTCTAAAGCAACACGTGGAGAACATGGTTAAAGAGGCCTCTAGCGCCTTAGGTAATGTCTTTTTTCATTTTTCCCTTATTCTTGGCTTTTTTAAAATTTGCTCGGCGTGTCCTTTCTTAAAATTGTAACTTGTCTGCTATGTTTCTGACATTTTTTTCATTCTAAGTCTTAATAAAAAAGTGTCAAGAGTAACGTTAACTTTAGGCTGATCGCTTTTTTCTAGCGAAGAAAGATCAGTATTATGGTAACAAATAAGTAGCTCTTAAGTGCTAAATTGATAAAATCTAGTTCCGTGGCTAACCATTCATTCTTTCTATTGTTGCTTTCTCTTCAGCTGTACCCGGTTCTAGTACTACCCTGTTGGTCGCGTTACGTGATATGATCGACAATTCGCAGCTGGGACTTCTCTTCAAGGACTTACGCCATGAAGACGCCGTTGCTCTGCAATACCTGATGGATTTCGTACACATGGTGCACAAACCTTCAAACGATAGTGAACACGAGGTTTCACAATACTTTTCTTAACAATAATAGCTACACTCTCACTAATTAACTCTAAAACTACCCTTTGGAATGTACTCTAGGATAGTCATTTGACTAAAACTACCCTTTAGAATGTAGTCTAGGATAATCATTTGACTCGCTCCTTTCCCGATAGGAAACATATTGTGTGATTAACTTGAGTGATGGGTGCAACGAGGACAAAAACAGTTCGAATAAGTCTATGTATCTGTTTGTGTTTGAGATTTATTTTAAGGACTGTTTCGCGTTGAAAGTTGACTTTTCAAATTAAATTGACTCCGACCCCAACCTGAAAAAGGTTTAAGGTGTTGAATACCTTAATGTGGTCATTAAAGATGTAGATATATCAAATGTGTTTTATACAAGACGAAAATCGATCCATAGATAAACTAGTTGCGGAAAACAGTAATTTTATTCCGGGTTAACTGAGACTACTCATCTTAGTGCGACTGAACTGCGGTTAAGGCAACATTTTTTTTTGGGTTTTTTTGTTTTTGTTGCTTTTTAGCTCGTGTACGAAGCGATTCTTTCGTCTGCGAGAGAACTTGGTACCCTGGAAGATGAGGATGGTAACGAGTCGATTGACATAGCTCTCGTTCATGTCGCACACAGTAGAGTTCAACACCGTTTAAAGTATTTTGATACAATTGTCAAAATGAATCCAAGTCTTATCCCGCGACTACGTGAAGTACTTCAAGGAAGTGAGCCAGAAGTGGTGAGTTACTCGAGTTTTGTAATTCAGTGCATGAACAAAACGGTTGATAATAGTACATAATTAAAATTTAACCATTAACATTTTTCCTTGAAAATTTCAAGTATGCCCGAGAAACGGTGAACTTAATATCTTTTGAGTCTTTGTCATACCTTTCGTCAAAGTATTTTCTACGATAGCAATCGGGTAATTGGTAGGGTTTTTCGGGTATGGGAGTGGTTTGAAAACTAGTGTATTAGAGGTCCTTGGCATGCTAGGTTGTTTTCTTACTTCAGATGATTGTTACCGCTGCAATGATGTCATGCCCACCACGAGCCCTTCTCGCCCCTTGCTACACCTTGGGTCTTTCTGATTTTGTCCCTTCCTTTGCTACATAATAAGTTAAACTTAATCTGAGTTGCACTTGTTAGTGTGCCTCGTCTGTAAATTAAAGATTGATTGACTGTACTGTATTGTTGTTGTCATTATCATTATTATCATTGTTACTACTATTGTTATTATTATTATCATTATTATTATTATTATTATTATTGCTATTATTATTATTACTACTATCATTTTACAGCTTTTGGATGTGGTAGCATTGCAAATTTGTCTTGAAGCGATCGAGCCATCACGAGAAATGTTGCTTTTTCCGGACACAAGACAAATTTGGTGTGACAGAGTTTTGTCTATGAGACCAGCGGTGGAAGACATGATAAGGAAAGAGAGGTTCGGACCTGTCACGGAGAAATGTTCAAACTATGGAGAGAGATCGACAGTACTGCTTGATCGCTGCAGGTAACGTAACATCCAATTTGTCCGCTAAAGCTTGGGTTTGACCGAGGCAAGAGCAGAAGTCGACTAAAGGTGCTGACGTAGTTTGCTGTTGATAATCCGTCAAGCCATTAATAGGGTTTTGTATAATCGCTCACTCGCTCACAGTGTCCTATACCTGAGGATTTGTCTGAAAAATGAGTCAGTCGGTCAACCGTGCATGTATTGTCAGTCAATGCATGCACAACCCTTAAAGGTCATTTAAATCGTAAATAATTGACCTCAAGATTTTCAAGGTCTCTTTTATATTGAGATCGTTTAAAATTATCTTGGGAATGCGTTATTGGTGCCGAGGCTGCGGATGTAGCGGGAAATGATTCCAGATATGGGAGATGTCTCATGAGAATAAGTTCTCAGGGCCTTGAAAATTTTTTGTTTGGTTCCCGAAAAAAAAAAGCTTTCCTCTATCTTATTAATACAATATTTTTAGTACCTTGTTATAAGGGGATCCATACGTTAAAGAGAAATTCCGATATTGGTTTTCTTTTAAAGTATTAACTAGATGCTAAAAGCGATCATGTTGTTCTCGTGTGGATCAGGTCCATGTGGCAGCGAATCGGAGCCGTCAGACTCTTTATAGAGCACGTGACTTTGTTCGCCGAAGAAGATGAAAATGCCAACTCCGAGGATGTAACTATTTTGTGGAAGGTGCGTATGGTTAGTTAGGTGCTACTGTGTAACTTACCAGGTAACAGTTTTTCTTTTTAAATTTGAAAGTAAAAAATGGAAATGCTAAGTCGTAAATTGAAACTCAACAACATGTCTTCTTTCCTTTGAAGGCTTTGGGGGATGAAACAGACTTTTCTTCGCTGAGATCGCTGCAGGCCTTGGAAAAATTCTTAATTAACTGCAGTGAAGACGTTAGGCAGAGGTAAAACAGCGCAACCATGACAGGTTTATGGTCGTAAATACGCCTAGAGGAGCAGACATAATTATTGTCCATTATTTTTTATTCTGTGGTACACGGTTCAGTTGGTATGTATCGCATAGGATCTCAGAGGATCTTCAGTCTCAGAGGAAGAGTAAAATTTAATACTTCGTTATGTACTGTACATCAATTGTGTTATTTTTTTTTACATTGCTTCATGGTTTCTTTGTGACTACAGGACCAATGAAAAGGCGGCAACCGAGTTACGCCACCGATGTAATGCCTTTTTCATGGAGTTGGTGTCAATATTCTGTTTTGGTGACTCGGTGTCAAAGGACCTTGAGCAGGAAGCTATCGCTCTACTCATGCGTTATGTCGTCGGTCATCAGTCAACTCAGACAAAGGGTTTCTCTCCATTCCCTGATCACGCTATTGACCCCACTCCTGTGGTGCGTTCATTTCTTCTCCAGTTGTTATTACGTTCAAGGTAACTAACATTAGGGATAATTCCTATCTTCTTTTAATATATTTTTCAGTTGATTACAGAACCTAGACCTTCGTTGTCCTCCTTACAAAGCCAAATTGATTGTACTTGTGATACCTCTTATCACTTCATAAAGGAGGAAGTATAAACTGGATTGTCTCTTATTTTTTCTTAAATAGAACAGAGCTGGTGAAAAATCATTTAGGAGACTTCTTGAAAGGGGCTAAGAACTTAAAACGAGGACCTTCGCACATCAAGGAAGTCTCCTTTTTGTATGTTCAGTGCAGGGAGGTACGTGAACTGATATATTCCACAGTGTAACAACAGTAACCGAAGTGAATCAATTGCTAAGAGCCGGATTAAATCCCTTTCCGTATAGAGAAAG